CCAATCCAAGGGCACAGCAGACCAGGAATGGTCACCGGGCTGCTGCCCTGCCGGTGCCAAGGTTTCCAGCCCTGCCCCAAACACTCTCACATTATTCCTTGGATCAGGGCTTGGCGTCACTGTTTGGGCTCAGCACTGCGGCCGTGCCTGACCTTGGAATGCAGGCGGAAAGGCTCCCGCGGGCCAGCTAATCTTGCTGCAATTAGAGGCACTTTAATTATGCCATTAGCGACAGGTTGGGACGTGCGGGACACGGGCGCTGCCCCACAGCCCGCGCTGAAGGACAGGGACAGTCACTGCCCTGGCCATTCGCACCCCACGGCCAGCCCCGAACCGGGGGAGCCCGAAGCCAAGGAGGGCGGCAGGACCCCAGAACATCCCCTTCCCGCCCGCCCGGCCCATGGAAAACGCATTTGGGAGCCGCATTCGGTACAAAAGGCCAGAGCGGCAGCTGACAGCAGGAAGGAAGCAGGAAAGAGCCCGGCACGGCCGGATCCGGAGCCCGCAGAGGCGCTGGGACACGCCGGGAGCCGCTCGGCCGGATCCGGCAGCGTGCCCATGGCTCCGGCAGCGCCGCCCGCGCGGCGGGGGACAGAGGGACACAGGGACAGACAGAGGGACACAGGGACAGACGGACAGACGGACAGAGGGATAGGGGGACAGACAGAGGGACAGAGGGACAGACGGACAGGGGGACAGGGGGACAGGGGGACAGACCGACAGGGGGACGGAGGAACGGACGGACAGAGGGACAGAGCGTCCGGCTGGGAATGCTGGGCTCCTCCAGGCCGGGCATGTGTCCCAGGCTGGGGATGTGGCCCATCCCTCTCCATCCCGGGCGTGTGGCCCATCCCGCTCCATCCCAGGGATGTGTCCCATCCCGGGGGTTTGTCCCACCCCAGGGATTTGTCCCATCCAGGGCAAGTGCCCCATCCCGCTCCATCCCAGGGATGTGTCCCATCCCGGGGCTGTAGTGCCCCAAAATTCTGCCCTTGAATCCCCTGGCAGTCCATAGGCAGAGCTTTGACCCTGTCAGCATTCCCGGGCTCTGGCACACAGCCGTGCCCCACGGACTGCCCCAGACCCCCCCTTGGCTCAGGGGACAAACACAGGAGCCCTGAGCGACCCCAGCAGCTCCTTTAATTCCCTGCAGGGCAGCAGGGCCAGCCCAGCTCGGACTCCGCAGGGATTCAGCATCAGGAACACCCCTGGACACTGCTGGAGCCCAGGTGGGGCTGCAGGACCAGCACCGGCTTGCAGGTCACGTTCTTCCAGCTTTGGGGGGTTCTCAGCAGCTCTATGGGGTTCCCAGCAGTTTTGGGGGGGATCCCAGGGGCTTTGGGGGATTCCCAGCAGCTCTATGGTGTTCCAGCAGCTCTATGGGGTTCTCAGCACCTCTGGGGGGGTTCTCAGCAGCTTAGGGAGGTTCCCAGCAGCTCTATGGGGTTTTCAGCAGCTCCACGGGGTTCTCAGCAGTTCCATGGGGTTCCCAGTAGTTCTATGGAGATCCCAGCAGCTCTATGGGGCTCTCAGCAGCTCCATGGGGCTCCCAGCAGTTTCGGGGTGTTCCCATAATCTCCGGGGTGTTCCAGCAGCCCCACCGCATCCCGTGGCGAGCAGGGCACGCCCGGCACGGTGCCCCCGGGCCCGGCGCTCCCGTCTCAGATCATGGAGACCCTGTTCTTGATGTAGACGTGGTAGGGGTCGCTGCGCTTGTCCACGCGGCGGGAGCGGGTGTAGCCCAGGATGAGGCTGCCCACGGTGGCGGCGAAGAGCGTCATGACGAACAGGATGTACATGTAGGCGTTGGCGTCGCGCCGCGGGTCCCGGGGCACCGGCGCGGCCGGGGGCTGCCCCGGGCACGGCCCGGCCCCGTGCAGGCTCCGGTTCAGCGCGCTCAGCACGGCCTGCAGGCTGCGCTGCCACGGCTCCGTGCCGTTCGTGCGCTCCATGGCCTGCGGGGACGGGCAGCGGGGGCAGGGGCTGCGCTCACAGCAATGGGGGCACAGCACCGACCCCAAAGCGCTCCCCTGCCGCGGAGCAGGGTGCCCAAACCCTTTGGCACCAAACCCTGTGCAACCCCAGCGCCAAACCTGTGCAACCCCAGCACCAAACCCTGTGCAACCCCAGCGCCAAACCCTTTGTAATAACCCCAGCGCCAAACCCTTTGTAACCCCAGCACCAAACCCTCCGTAACCCCAGCACCAAACCCTCTGTAACCCCAGCACCAAACCCTCCGTAACCCCAGCACCAAACCCTCTGTAACCCCAGCACCAAACCCTTTGGCACCAAACCCTGTGCAACCAAGCCTCTGTAACCCCAGAGCGCCAAACCCTCTGTAACCCCAGCGCCAAACCCTCTGTAACCCAGCACCAAACCCTCTGTAACCCAGCACCAAACCCTCTGTAACCCCAGCACCAAACCCTGTGCAACCCCAGCACCAAACCCTCTGTAACCCAGCGCCAAACCCTCTGTAACCCCAACACCAAACCCTCTGTAGCCCCAGCACCAAATCCCTTGTAATAATCCCAGCACCAAACCCTTTGTAACCCCAGTGCCAAACCCTCTGTAATAACCCCAGCACCAAACCCTCTGTAACCCCAACACCAAACCCTCTGTAACCCAGCACCAAACCCTCTGTAACCCAGCACCAAACCCTCTGTAACCCCAGCGCCAAACCCTCTGTAACCCCAGCACCAAGCCCTTTCATTCCCAGCAGCCCTGTCCCTAAATTTCAGTCCTTCCATGGAGGAGACAAATCCCCCAGGGCTCTGGGGCAGCTGCCTGCCCCTCTCTCCTCCCTGTCCCCAGGGCTGGGACAATGTGGGGACACTGCTGTCCCAAGGGCTCACAGTCTGCTTTCCCCCGGGATATGTGGGCATGCTGGGCTCATGTCCTGCCCCACTGCAGGCTGCAGAGCTGGCACAGCTCCCCACAGATTGCTGTGAACCCATCTTGCTGCCCTGAACCTCCCTGGTAATTTCCCTTCCCTTTGGGTGCCACCCCTCCTTTGGTGCCCTCCTGCCAGCCCCCCTGGGCTCCCCTCACAGCTTGCTGGGACCCCGGGGCAGGCATGGCCAGGGAGGGACACGGGACACGGTGTGCCATCCTTTGGGACACGGTGTGCCATCCTTTGGGACACGGTGTGCCATTCCTTGGGACACAGTGTGCCATTCCTTGGGACACAGTGTGCCATCCTTTGGGACACGGTGTGCCGTCCTTTGAGACACAGTCTGCCACCCTTTGGGACACAGTGTGCCATCCTTTGGGACACGGTGTGCCACCCTTTGGGACACGGTGTGCCATCCTTTGGGACCTGCCAGTCCCCACTGTTGTTCCCCCAGGGCTCCAGCGTGTCCCCCACCTGCTCCCCTTGCTTGCTGCACCTCCTCCTACCCTTGTAGGGCAGCTGATCCCAAATGGGCCGCCCCAAACTCGGGGCGCACCTCCCAGAAGGACACCCCAGCTGTGAGGAGGAGGAGGAGGAGGAAGGGGCTGAGCAGTCACCGCGGGGATGAGGTCGGACCCGGCTGCATTCCTGACTGAAGCAGGCTGAACTGGGGAGCTTTGGGGCAAGGTCTGGGTTTGTCCCAGGAGGGCACCCACGGATGGGGCAGGGCTGTGAGGAGGGGGCACCGGGCATGGGAAGGGGCTCGCACTCACCTCGCGTGCCCTCCGTGCCCTCCGTGCTGCCAGGCCGAGCGGGACTGAGCGAGCATCGCTGCCGGCGGGGAGGGACCGAGGGAGGGAGGGATGCGGCGGGCTGGGAGCGCCGCCAGCCTCCTCCCCTTCCCGGGCAGAGCCACCTGCCCCGGCCAGCCCAGGCCCGGCCCCGGGACAGCTCCGTGGGGCTCTCTGGGGCTTTGTGGGGCTCTGTGGGGCTGGAGAGTGGCGCTGCCCCGCTCACGCTTCCCTGCCCCTGTCCCTGTCCCTGCCCCTGTCCCTGCCCCTGCCCCTGTCCCTGTCCCTGTCCCTGCCCCTGCCCCTGCCCCTGTCCCTGCCCCTGCCCCTGCCCCTGTCCCTGCCCCTGCCCCTGTCCCTGTCCCTCCTCGTCCCGCGGTCCCCGAGCCCTTCCATGGCACAGAGCCTGCCCGGGCATGTTCCTCCTGCTCACCTTGCCCTCCTGGAGCTCAGCCTGCCCCATTTCCCCCTTTTTGGCTCCATTGCTCCATTTCCCCATTCCCAACCCCACCGGGCACACACGGGGCGCTCACAAGGAGCTGCCAGAGCTGTGCAGAAACAGAGAGAGCCCAGAGCTTGTGGGGCAGAGAGAGCACCCAGAACAGCAGCGAGGGGCTCTGGCTGGGGGTCAGGCATTGTGGGGCAGGGGGAGCACCCAGAACAGTGAGCCTTTTCCCTCCTCCTCCTGCCCCTTTCCCACTGCATCCACAGTGGCCTCTCCACCGGGGTTCACAGCCGCCTTCCACCGTCCCTGGCGCCAGGATCTCTGCCACGTGAGGGTTTTCCACGGGCTCAGCGTGTGGAAAAGGTTGGCATTGATAAAGCCTTGGGGTAAGTAAATGAGAAAAGGATCAGCAGCCAAAGTTCCCAGCAACTCTCTTTATATATAAAATCTGCCTCTTTTTACCCAGCAAGGTAAAGGATGACCCACGTGAATCCATTCATGTGAATTCATGAGCATTCACACAAATCTTTAATTCCTGTGGGGCAAAAAGCAGAAAAAAGCCCCACAAAAGCACCTGTTTGGGTACTTCCCCAGCAAGTGACTGTGGTACCCACAGAGGTCTCAGCGAGGGATGGAGCCTCACAGGGCTGCAGAGAACAGCCCCAGGGCAGGTTTGCATGGTCAGTGGTACCCATGGAGGTCCCAGCCGAGGGATGGAGACTCACAGGGCAGCTTTGGATGGTCAGCGGCACCCACAGAGGTCTCAGCCAAGGGATGGACACTCACAGGGCAGGGTTGGATGCTCAAGCAGCAGCCTGAAACCCTGTGCCAGTGTCCCCTCATGGTCCCCAGGCAAAGGCACAAGAACTGTCTCACAACAGAGACCCTAGGCTGCCCTGGGGCCAGCACACCCGGCCGAGGCAGCACAGCGATCCTAGTCCCCGGGGTCCTCTGAGGAGACCAAAGTGCACTCGAACACCTCCTGGAAGGAGTCGAGGAAGGGCTGGAGGACCTGGCTGACGGCGACGTGGTGTCCCAGCTCGCGGCTGAGCGAGGTGACGCCCTTGCCCTCCAGGCCGCAGGGCACGATGTGCTCGAACCACGAGAGGTCGGTGCAGCAGTTGAGCGCCAGCCCGTGCGAGGTGATGTGGCTCCCGCAGTGCACACCTGCGGGGCCGAGAGCACATCCCGTCAGCTCCGTCACCCGCAGGGACCGCGCTGCCCAGAGCACTGCAAACATCCTGCCCCACCGCGCCGTGCTCCCTTCTGCCAGGGGAAACCCAAACATTGAGTTTCCTGACAGGCCCCCCAAAACTGGGGCAGATGGGGAGCGGCGTGTCCAGACCCTCCACCCCAGCCCTGCATCCCCCAGCGCCTCACACCACTGGAGTTTCCAATGGGCCCGAAATCCAGGCTGCAGGGTCCCGGGAAGAGGTGCAGGATGTGGAGGGGAGCAAGGGAAGGGGCAAGGCTGGGGACTGGGCTGCAGGCAGCCCTGGGAGCTGGGGGGGCCGAGTGCTGGGAGCTGGGTGGGCTGCAGGGGCTCCAGATTGTGCTGTCCCCCCCTCCTGCCTGCCAGTCCCACCCCTGCAGCTCCAGGTTCCTGCACTGCCCTGCCCTGTGCCCAGGGGATGGCAGGATGGGTTGGCCTGGGCTGGGAGGAGTTCCATGGGCAGGGACACCTCCCACCATATCCCAGGTTGGTCCAGCCTGGCCTTGGGCACTGCCAGGGATCCAGGGGCAGCCCCAGCTGCTGTGGGCACCCTGTGCCGGGGCCTGCCCACCCTCACAGGGAACAATTCCCAATTCCCAATATTCCATCCATCTCTGCCCTCTGGGAGGCCGTTCCCTGCGTCCTGTCCCTCCATGCCCTGTCCCCAGTCCCTCTGCAGCTCTCCTGGAGCCCCCCTTTAGGCCTTGCCAGGGCTCTGAGCTCTCCCTGGAGCTTCTCCTCTCCAGGGGAGCACCCCCGGTGCCCAGCCCGGCTCCACGCTCCCGCCGCGCTCCCGGGGCCGTCCCCGCTCACCGATGGCGCAGAGTTTGCTGTCGCCCATCCAGACCCCGGTGTAGGGCGGCGGCAGCGCCCGGGCCGCGCCCAGCCCGAGGCGGCGGCACAGCCGCAGCACCAGCGCCTCCAGCCCGGCCACGTAGGCGCGCAGGGGCAGGCGGCGGCGGCGCAGGTCGAGCACGGGGAAGGCGAGCAGCTGTCCCGGCCCGTGGAAGGTGATGTGCCCGCCGCGCCGCGCCGCCACCAGCGCCGCGCCCCGCGCCCGCAGCGCCGCCGCCGCCGCCGCGCCCGGCGCGCCCCGCAGGCCCCAGGTGTACACGGGCTGCAGCGGCTCGCTCAGCACCACGCTCTCCGCCGCCGCCGCCACCGGCACCGGCACCGGCAGCGGCTGCCCCGGGCCCCGCCGCGCCGCCCGCAGCGCCGCCACGCAGCGCTCCTGCACCCGCAGCGCCTCCGCGTACGGCACCGCGCCCAGCCGCAGCACACGCACCGACAGGGCCCGGGGACACATGGTGGGCCGGGGGGGACACGGGGACACACGGGGATACCCGGGGACACGGCCGGGATACCCGGGGACAGTGCCGGGGCAGCGCCGAACCGGGCAGGGAACGGGGATGGGGACGGGGACACAGGACACGGGGACACGGAAAAGCAGCGGGCACGGGGACGGAAGGGAGGCGGGGACGGAAAGGAGGCGGGGAGGGAACGGGAGGCGGAGAGGGAACGGGAGGCGAGGATAGGGACAGCGGGGTCATGTGGACGCGGTCATGGGGACGGGCTCCGGTGGGCATGGCAGCGGAGAGTGGCCGTGGGGGACGGCAGGGGATGGGGACAGGGAGGGGAGAGCAGGGCAGAGGGGACAGGAGTGGATGGTGGGGCAGGGGGAGAGGATGGAGAACAGGGATGCAGGGGTAGTGGATGGGGGACAGGGCGCAGACATGGTGAGTGGGACGTGGGGGACAGGGCAGAGGGGACAGCAGCACACAGGATGGGGGTTTGGGCTTGGAGAAGGGGAACAGCACCTGGGGACACGGGACGTGGCCCAAAGGAGGGTACCGGGGATGGGAGGATTGGGAATGGCAGCTGGTGCCCAGGGACAGGGCTGACACACAGGGGACAGGGGATAAGGAGGTGACAGGGCTGTGGGTGGCTGATAATGGCCAGGGCCGCAGGAGGGGCACAGCCAGGAGACACAGGGCCTCTGTCACCACAGGGTGTGGGACACGGGGCACTAGGGTGGGGGACAGCAGGGGATGGGGCAGGGAGCGTGCACATGACATCCCAGAACAGCTGGGCAATCACAGGCCGGCTCAAAGCAGGCTAAAATCAGGATTCTGGGGTACAAGTAGGACAGGTGTGGATGCTCCAGCCCTGGAAGTGGTCCAGGGCAGGTTGGATAAGGCCTTGAGCAACCTGGTGCACGGGAATGTGTGTCTGCCCATGGCAGGGGGTGGAACAGGAGGAGCTCTAAGTTCCCTTCCAGCCCTTCCCTTTGTGTGATTCTGTGCTGGCACCTCAAGGCTGTGCAGTGTAAATAAAGCCCTCGTGTTGCCGAGGTGCTGGAGAGAGCTGCAGTTCTGGGACTGTGTAAGAGGAAACGTTCCCACCCCAGCTTCTTACTCCAAATGTAGGAAATGGACAAATCTGGTCGAACCGCTAATGAGTGAGCCATTAAAACCTGAGCAAACTTTCCCAGCCTGCAGCCCTTCCAGCTTATCCAGTGTATGAAATATGTATGTCCTGATTTTATAGAGCACTCACTGTGTTACTGTTTTATCAGAACACACCTCCCTGGTCATTTGCCCTTTGTCATCACAGGTAATTTAGACATTGGCTGACAAGGTCAATTTCTGTGTTATTGCAAGGGAGGAAAAGTGTTTCCCTTTGTTAGGCTGTTTTCTCAATGAAGAGGAGAAAAAATGGGACAAAAAACCACCAGGAATTGGTGGAGCCAGCTTGAGGATCCCACCTGGCGTGGGGACATCGCCTCAGGCAGCTCCAGGAGGGCTGCTCCAGCTCTCTGCCTTGGCAGGACAGACTCATATTTTACACAGCAGCGTGTGTGCAGCCAGCTATTTCCTTGGTTTTATAGCTGAGCCCCCCCTTGCTGGCAGGGGATCAAAGCCCAGGGCCCTTCCTGCCTGCGTAGGACAGGGGAGCTGTGTGTCACAGCCCTGGGACCCTCGTCAGCAGCGCTGGCACTGCCCCATGCACTGTGCACATCCTGCACTGCCCCATGCACTGTGCACATCCTGGGCTGCCCCATGCACTGTGCACATCCTGGACTGTCCCACTTTCTGTGCATATCCTGCACTGCCCAATTCACTGTGCACATCCTGCACTGCCCCATGCACTGTGCACATCCTGGGCTGCCCCATGCACTGTGCACATCCTGCACTGCCCAATTTACTGTGCACATCCTGCACTGTCCATTTTCTGTGCACATCCTGCACTGCCCAATTCACTGTGCACATCCTGCACTGCCCCATGCACTGTGCACATCCTGCACTGTCCATTTTCTGTGCACATCCTGCACTGCCCCATGCACTGTGCACATCCTGGGCTGCCCCATGCACTGTGCACATCCTGCACTGCCCCATGCACTGTGCACATCCTGCACTGTCCATTTTCTGTGCACATCCTGGGCTGCCCCATGCACTGTGCACATCCTGGGCTGCCCCATTTACTGTGCACATCCTGCACTGCCCCATGCACTGTGCACATCCTGCACTGCCCAATTTACTGTGCACATCCTGGGCTGCCCCATGCACTGTGCACATCCTGGGCTGCCCCATTTACTGTGCACATCCTGGGCTGCCCCATGCACTGTGCACATCCTGCACTGCCCCATGCGCTGTGCACATCCTGGACTGTCCCACTTTCTGTGCATATCCTGCACTGCCCAATTCACTGTGCACATCCTGGGCTGCCCCATGCACTGTGCACATCCTGCACTGCCTCATTTGCTGCCCTCATCCTGCACTGTCCATTTTCTGTGCACATCCTAGGCTGCCCATTCACTGTGCACATCCTGCACTGCCCAGTTTTCTGCCCTCATCCTGGACTGTCCATTTCCTGTGCACATTTTCTCTGCACATCCTGCCTTTCAGCCGGGCGGAAATTGTCACTTTAGGACACGAAACAGAAAGGCACAGACAGACTGGATTTTCTAAGGCAAAAGAGAGGGAAGTTTAATTTTGACTGCATGTGACGGTGCCACCTCTCCAATGACACTGGACAACAAACCAACGGTCTATCAAATCTCTTTTCCTCTGTAAAACAATGCAAAACACTGAGTTATTTACATAAAGCACATGAGAAAGTTCGTTACGAGAATGTAAACACCAGAAGGCTTAGAGAAACTTGTAAAAACAAGGTGACAGGAAATGGTGTGCAAGGGGCCATGGCTGGCTCGCCTTTTATCCCTCTCTCAGGGCTGGGGTGCTTCCAAAGCACTCGGTGGTGTTCGTGGTGCTGTACCTTCTCCTCTGGGTGCCTTAAGCACCAGCAGAGCCTCTGCAGTGCCCAGCGATCCCTTGGAGAGTTTTGTGTGCCAGGAGAGCCCTTTAGGGCTGATGCAGTCAGGGCTCAGCAGCAGGAGGAGCAGGGGGGACAGGGGTGGTGCTGTGGAACAGGTGCCTGGCACAGCTCACAGAGAGCTGCAGACAAAGCCAAGGGCGCCATCCTGGCTCCAGTGAGGGCTGGGATGAAAATCCTGTGTACAGCAGAGGTGGCCTTTGAGTCCTGGTAAAATCTATGTGTTGTACAAGTGGCCTTGCCCCAGTCCCAATTGTTCTAGATGGGCTGCAGCTGTGATGTCCTTAATTGGGCTGCAGCTGTGGCTAATGAAGATAACTGGGATAAAAGGGGGTGGGCTGGCTGGGAGGGAGAGCTTTGGAGGTGCCCTGATGCTGGAGCAACACTGCTGTGAAGAGCTGCTGTTGAGAAAGCCGCCGAGAAGGTATGGGACTCTAGGAATAGGATAACAGCAATATGAGCACAGCACTGCCCAGGTTTTAGGGCAGGATCTCGGGCTGTGTCCCACAGGCTCTCTCTGCCCCCTCACTGACTCCAGCAGCGTTCCCGGGCTGTGCCAGAGGGGAAGGAAGCCCGGGCAGCACACGTGTCGGGCTGTGCCCCTTGGGGGCGGTAAGGAAGCACTTCGGGAAGCTCTTGCTGGCCTGGCAGAGGGTTGAGAGCTGGGGTTCCTGTGCTGGCTGTGCCTCCCTGGGCAGGGCTGGGCTTTGGCCCATGCTGGACCTTTCTGACCCAAGCCCTTCTGTGATTTGAACAACTCCTGGTGTTCAGTCTGAACCTCTCTTGTTTCAGTTTGTGCCCACATAGCTCATATTTTTTATTTATACATATAAATTTACATGTAAGTTTATACATATAATTTCTGTTTATACATATAAATTATACATATAAATATATTTATACATATACATTTACGTATAGCTCTTATTTTTTATTTATAGATTTACACATAAATTTATACATATAAATTACATTTATACATATAAATATATTTATGCATAGCTCATACTTTTTATTTATACATGTAAATTTACACATCAATTTATGCATATAAATTCTATTTATACACATATGTATAATTTAGACACCTAGATATATTTATGTATATAAATTTATGCATAGCTCATACTTTTTATTTATACACAGAATATAAAGCAGGTGTGAGTGAGACCAGATGCAGATCCCACAGCATTTTAATGCAGAGGAAAGGAATCCTCAGCTGGAGCTCTCTTACCTCTTACACCCATTTGAACCCTTAAGCCAACCTATAGGAGCAGCACACGCTGAGCCCTGAGGTGAAAAGTGTAATTTTACACTCATCAGGCACCTTGGTCAGGTCATGAAATCATTCAGAGAGCTCAGAGCAGGAAACTAAAGGAAGAAAAAATAGGAGATGAAAAAGAGGCTCCGAACAATGAAAAGATGAGTAAGGTGCTTGAGACCGGGACACTCCTTCTGTGAAGGAGGCAGAAAAGTCAGGGCGGGAGTGTCACAAGAATAACTGCGGTGAGGTGAGGGAAAGAGACAGCAGGAGTGTGGGAACAGGCTCCTGGCACGAAGAGGATGTGGATGGGTTTGTGAGCAGCCAAACAAACCCGGTGCCAGCTGAGCACTGAGTGCCATTGTGAGCCCATGATAAACCCTGTTAAAATAAACCCTGAGTTTATTCTAGCCCTCACCAAACCTGTCCAGTTTCCTCCCCTGACCTTTGCCAGGGACAAAGCTGCTGTGTTCAGGTCGGGATCTGCATCCTGCTGCAGCTCTCACGGGCCAGGGACACTCCTGGTGACCGTGGGTGGCAGTGCCACCACAGGCCCGTCCTGGGGCTCTGTGCCCCGAGGAGCCAGGGCACCGCTGCTCTGGGGTCCTGCAGCCCTGCCCCGGATATTTCCTGATAATTTGGTGTTTTCAGCTCGCTCAGCTGCTTCTGGCACCTCCTTTTGGAGGTGCTGGCGCAGGCTGGGCAGGGGGATG